TCCTAACTGAGGCCACTGCCATCAGGAGGCTTGGGATGGACAGAGTAACTACCTTCTTTCTTTTTTTTTTGTGATGGTGAGAACATTAAGATATACTCTCTTAGCAAATTTCAATTATACAATATAGTATTATTAACTAAAATCATCATGTTGTACATTAGATCCCCAGAACTTATTCATCTTATAACTGGAAGTTTGTACCCTTTGACCAACATCTCCCCATTTCCCCCATCCCTCAAATCCTGGCAACTGCTCATAGAACTCTCTGATTCTATGAGTTCAACTTTTCTTCGATTCCATATATAACTGAGATCATACAGTATTTGTCTTCCTGTGTCTGGCTTATTTCACTTAGCATAATATCCTCCAGGTTTATCCATGCTGTTGAAAATGGCAGGATTTCCTTCTTTCTTCATGGCTGAATAATATTGCATTGTGTATGTGTGTGTGTGTGTATACCACATTTTCTTTACCTATTCATCCATTAACAGACACAAGTTGTTTCCATATCTTGGAATTATCCACATACTGTGAATAACACTGCAATGAATATGGGTATATAGATATCTCTCTGAGATACTGATTTCATTTTCTTTAGATATAGATCCAGAAGTGGGATTGTTGGGTCATATGGGAGTTCTATTTTTAATTTTTGAGGAGCTCCCATATTGTTTTCTGTAATGGTTGTCCGAACAGTGCTGAGTTCCCTTTTCTCCACACCTTTGCCAATATGTGTTATTTTTTGTCTTTTTGATAACAGTCATCATAACAGGAGTGAAGTGAGTCTCACTGTGGTTTTGATTTGCATTTCCCTAATGATTAGTGAGGTTGAGCATCTTTTCATATTCCTGCTGGCCACTGGTATGTTTTCTTTGGAAAAATTTGCCCATTTTTATTTATTTATTTATTTTTAAAGATTTTATTTATTTATTTGACAGAAAGAGACATGGCGAGAGAGGGAACACAAGCAGGGGGAGTGGGAGAGGGAGAAGCAGGCTTCCCGCGGAGCAGGATCCCAGGGGCTCGATGCGGGGCTCGATCCCAGGACCCTGGGATCATGACCTGAGCCGAAGGCAGACGCTTAACAACTGAGCCACCCAGGCGCCCCTGCCCATTTTTAAATCAGACTATTAGTTTTTTTTGCTATCGAGGCGTATGAGTTCCTTATACATTTTGGGTCAGATAGATGGTTTACAAATATTTTCTCTTATTCCATAGGTTGCCTTTTCGTTTTGTTGATTGTTTCTTTTGCTTTGCAGAAGCTTTTAGTTTAACACACTCCCAATATTTATGTCTGCTTTTGTTACCTTTACTTCTGGTGTCATACTCAAGAAATCACTGTCAAGACCAGTGTCAAGGAGCTTTTCCCCTATGTTTTCTTCTAGGAGTTTTATGACTTCCAGTCCTAAATTTAAGTATTTAATCCATTTTGAATTAATTTTATGTGTATTTGTTTATTCTCTTGCATGTGGATATCCAGTTTTCCTAACACCATTTATTGAAGATACTATCTCTTTCTCCATTGTGTATTCTTGGAGCCCCCGTCAAAGATTAATTGGCTCTATACATGTGTGTTTATTTCTGGGCTCTCTATTCTGTTCCACTGGTTTGTTTTTATGCCAGTGCTATACCGTTTTGATTATCAGCTTTGCAATATAGTTTGAAATCAGGAAGTGTGGTGCCTTCAGCTTTGTTTTCTTTCTCAAGATCGTATTGGCTATTTGGTGACTTTTATGATTCCACACGAGTTTTGGGATTTTTTTCTATTTCTGTGAAAAATGCCACAACTGGAATTTTGATGGGAATTCATACAGGGATCACTCTGAATCTATAGATCCGTAATTCTAAATGGAAGATAATTAGGGCAGTAAACAAGGTAGTGGAGGTGGCAGTAGAACTCTGAGTGGTTGAAGTATGGAAGCATGGAGGCTCACCAAGGGCCTGAGCACTGACAGTGCAAACTGAGGAGAGGGTTTCCTGAGGAGGGTAATCTTACGTGTGATGCCTTAAAGAGGAGGACACAGGAAGTCTGGCCGGTGACATTACCTAACCATAAACAATTAAGTGCAACAGATGTGTTTTGAGTACAGGTGTATTTTTCCCTAAGTGCTAGCAAAGAGGCATATTCACAGCAGGTACTCAAAAATGACTAAATGTAGTGGAATTAGGGGAAAAAAAAGGAGATTGAATTCCATCCTCAAGAGCTGGTATCTGACGTTATCAATTTAAAGTTAACACAGGATTCTGGAACCAGAACTAAGATTTCAGGAAGCTGATCTATACTACTACATGTGAGAAGTAAGACAGAGGTCAAGAATTGGAGAGTTGTGGGGCACCTGGTGGCTCAGTCAGGTAAGCGTCCGACTCTTGATTTTGGGTCAGGTCGTGATCTCATGGGTTGTGAGACTGAGCCGTGGGCATAAGCACAGTGCGTGGAGTGCATGCAGCCTGCTTAATATTCTCTCTCACTTTCTGCCCTCCTTCCCCCCGCCGCTCCCCCAACTTGCTTGTGCTCTGGGAGCTCTCTCTCTTACTCTCAAAAAAAAAAAAAAGAATCACTGAGATGTTCACAGTGAGGTGACACACAAAGAGTTTGAGCTATGGCTTTAGGAGGAAAAAGAAAAGACAACCAAATTCCCTACTAACTACAGAACTGAAAAGTATCTACCCTGTATGCATGATGGTGATTTTGTTTCCTAAATTCTGCAATAATTATATTGTGTCTTGACCATATGCTCCAATTAACAGCCATAAATAGGATGTGGATAAAAATATGAATCACCTCTTAACTGTCACCCACTTCTTCAAATAAAGCAATTTTTATAAACTTAGCATACCTGTAGATGTTCATAAATGTGTAAAGAAATTCCACTTAGAAACTTCTGTTACTCAATAGGGTCAAGGCTTCAAAAAGGACCAGTTTCTATAAACTGTCAGGAAATACTTTTGAGGATAGACCAAAGGCAACTACTAAACCTGAATAAATATTTAGTAAAAATGTTTCAAAAAGTAACTTGTATGTTTACTATTATTCAGGTGCAATGTTCATATGTATGTGCTGACCTATACTTGTGATCAGATTTGGAATGTTGGTATATAGCATTCCTACTCAGGACTGTTACAGACTAAATGTTTGTGTCCCTTAAAATTCCTTTTTTTGGGGGGCGCCTGGGTGGCTCAGTCGTTAAGCGTCTGCCTTCGGCTCAGGGTATGATCCCAAGGTCCTGGGATCGAGCCCCGCCATCGGGCTCTCTGCTCCGCGGGAAGCCTGCTTCTCCCTCTCTCACTCCCCCCGTTTGTGTTCCCTCTCTCGCTTTGTCTCTGTCAAATAAATAAATTAAAAAATCTAAAAAAAAAAAAAATCCCTTTTTTTTTTAAGATTTTATTTAATTTATTTGACACAGAGAGAGAGAGAGAGAGACAGAGGGAGAGCGCATACAGCAGCAGAGGGAGAGGGAGAAGCAGACTCCCCACTGAACAGGGAGCCTGACGTGGGACTTGATCCCAGGAGCCTGGGATCATGACCCATGACCTGAGCTGAAGGCAGACTTAACCGATTGAGCCACCCAGGCACCCATGTTCCTTAAAATTCTTATATTGAATCCCTAACCGCCATGAGAGATAGGGCCTTTGGGAGTTAATTAGGATTAAAGGTGGCCATAATGTTCGGGCCCTCATGATGGGATTAGTGGCCTTGTAAGGAGAGATATCAGAGAGCTTCCTGGAGCACATGAAATCATTTTCTCTCCTTCTCTGTCATATGAGGACACAAAGAGAAAGAGGGCACTTGCAAGCCAGGAAGGCTCTCCCCAAAACCTAACCATGCTGAAACCCTAATGTTGGGCCTGTAGCCTCCAGACTATGAGAAAATAAATTCCTGTTAATCAAGCTACCTAATCTATAGTTTCTGTTATGGCAATGATAAAAAGCAAAATGTAAATACCAAATTATTTTTAAATTCCAGTATTTTTTTTTATAGGTTTTGTTTTAAAGAATGGTTTTAGATTTACAGAAAATTTGAACAGATTAGTACAGAGAATTCCCGTTATCACCTGCTCCTTTCTCCCTCCCTCCCCACACACGATTTCCCCTGTCATTAGATGCTCAGTAAGATGCTCATACCATAGGAGAGGCATACCAGAAACAGGAGCAAACCAAAGCCACAGCCACTTCTCTCCCACCTCAGATTAGCTAAGGGTCATGCTTGGGACAAATGGCCCTTAAATGGAATGCCTACAGAGAAGTGAAGTTATATTTTTCTTTCTTAGAAGAGTGAGAATGCTGAATTTTCATATGTTAGGCGCAGGTAATTTGCAGCTACCTGGTGCTACTTTCTCCATTTAAAGGCCTCCAGGAGTCTACCAATGGAGTCATGGCTCTCTCCCCAGCTCCGAGGTTCCTCTAGGTCTGGCCCTGCCCAGCACTAGCAGACCTATTGAATCTCTCTCCCTGTTGTGCTACGTCTTCTGCCTGTTACACCTCTGCACTCCCCACAGCCCCTGGATCCAAATTCTACTCAACTGTTGGAACCTGTCTACTCCACAAAGTCTTTTCAAACCCAGACCGTGTTCTTTCCTTTGTTTGTTCCCAAATATCCACATGATCAGCAGGCCAGAGTTTATCACTCAATCATTCTCCAAAATTTAGGGTAGGAGCCTCTTTAGAGTAAGGACCATGGCTTACGATATTTTTTCCTCCACCATTCCTCTTAGTACAGCCCTGGAAATATAGTGCTTGATCAATAAATATATAGTTGATTACTAGTTGGTCCACAGAGAAGGCAATTTTAGACAATTGTTTGATCTACTCAAATTTTTAGAGAAAACTACCTGCAGAAAATGAAAAGGAGTTTAAAAATCCTAAAATTACCAAAACGTGGCAGCATGGGCCCAATGCCACAGCAGAGGTTTCCAATGGTGTAACTCTTAACCTTAGCAGACTTCCGAGACACATGAACACCCACTCGCTGTAAAGGAAAGGAGATGTTAATAAAGACATACCGTCTGAGGTTATAAGAATCTTCTTGCCTTTGGGGACCAAAACATGTCCAGCATGACTGATAACCCAAACTGGAAAGCGTCGGTTTATTGAGGAGTACAAAGCCTTTGCAAATGGTACATAAAAGGCAGAAAAACCTGGATTACCTAAGAAAAGAAACACAGACCTTAGTTAACTAAAGCAATAAGCTCACATAAGATATGCAGAGTGGAAAAGAACGATTTATTTGACCTCACACTTTCTTCTACAAATCTACTAACATTTATACATACACTTCAATTTTAATATCCTTTATATCTTAAGTCTGGGAATGATCACTCAGAAAATTTCTGCTCCTGCTTCGTTCCCCAATGGTTTCAAGATAAATTCTTCCTCCCTATTCCTCAGCTTAATAAATGGAACCACCAATCCTAAACCTAATACTCAAGTCCTAACACCAGGAGTCACTCTTGGTTTCTCCCTGTTTTTCACATCCAATTCACTAATAAGTCCTGTCAACTTTGTTTCCAAAATAGATCTCACATCTTATGCATCTCACGTCTCTCCATTAGTATTACCACTTTGAGTTTCCTGCAGCAGCCTCCTCATGGGCCTTCTATCTACTCTTGTCCCCTGGGAGCCCATTCTGCAGGGTGCCCAGAAAGATACCTTCAAACTTCAACTCATAGCAGTATCCTAATTTAAACACCTCTCAGTGGCTTCCCATTATCATCCTAGTAGTTCAAAGTCATTATAATCCTGTCTCTAAAGCCCTTCAAGATTTTATTGTGTTCAGTTAGCAAGCCACATGAAAACAAATCAGTGTAAGAATCATTCACAAACAGTACTTTGAGTTTACTGAGGTTTCCTCATCATTTATCACAAGTACTTATATTATAAGCAGATGTATAGTTTCACCTTTTGGGAAAGAGACCACCAACTAATACATACAGACTTTTCTTGTGTATATACAGAAGGTATTTTTGACATGGGTTTGCTATAGAGAAATGGAATGAATAATGACCTTTTAGAAAAAGAGTCAATCTGATACATCTTTAGGGGAAAAGACAGTGAAATGGGGCTTTCATCCTGCAATCATCATCTGTATAATGCTTTCAGATACTGGTCCACTTCCATCAATATCAATTTGCCAATCAATTTATTATTTCTTCATGCTATTAGGTTTTCTCCTCTTTGCAATCACATGACATAGTTTTGCTGCACTGATTGAACCTCTGCCACCCTTGTCAAATGACACTGATTTCTTCATTACCTGCATCTTTCAGTGTCCTAGACAGGCAAAGAAGCAAAGTGGTTAAGGGCATAAGCTCTGGAGCCAGACTGTGTGAGGTCGAATCCTGGCTTTGCTACTTACCAAGTGTGTGACCTTCGGCAAGCTACCTAACCTCTCTGGGTCTTAGCTTCTTCGTCCACAAGATGAGGATAATAATCAACTACGTCACTTAAGAACTAAGTGAATTAACATATGTAAAGTACTTAAACACTGCCTGATACACAAGTGCTGCACAAATGTTGGCTCTTCAGACTTGTCATGTCTAGCCGTGATGGTAATAAATGGCCTTATCACTCATATTGCTATTTTGCTTCTGTTGCATTCTGACCTACTAACCCATGCTCCAAATTTCTTTTTGTTATTGTGCTAGTGTCATCTTTGTTAAATAGCACAGAAACTTCCTCAAACACAGTAATATGCTCTCTGGTTGGCTGACTGACATGGGGCAGCTTGAGGAGGAGGAGGAGAGGAGGGGTGTATAGCACTGGGGCTGTAACATCTGTGTGGATGCGGATAGCATTGTTTCGTGTTTTATATCTAAATCTTCAGTAGGTCTGGAATATTTTGGAGTATAAAGTACAAAGTAGCAATCCAACTTCGTTCCAAGTGATTAGCCAAGTGTCCCAAGACCATTTATTATATAATCTATTCTTTCTGCATTGATTTGAAATGTCTTCTGAATTTAACACTGAATTTTTACATTAGCTCGCTAATTCTTTTTTTTTTTTTTAAGATATTATTCATTTGACAGAGAGACAGAGAGAGAGCACAAGTAGGCAGAGTGGCAGGCAGAGGGAGAGGGAGAAACAGGCTCTCCACTGAGCAGGGAGCCGGGTGTGGGGCTCGATCCCAGGACCCCAGGATCATGAACTGAGCCGAAGGCAGCCGCTTAACTGACTGAGCCACCCAGGCGCCCCTAGCTTGCTAATTCTGATTCCAAATAATTCCACTTATTTTTTTCCTTTTCTCCTCTGCCAGTGCCATACTGTCTTGATTACTATCTCGGGTATTTATTTATTTATTTATTTATTAATGTTTCAGTAACTGACAGGGCAAGTCCCTTCTCTTAATTTTTCCCCCTAGATTTTCTAGGCTGGTCTCATAACCTTTAGAATTACTTTCACCAGCTTCAATTTTTAAAAATCTTTTTGGAATTCTGACTGAAATTTCATCTCATTTATACATTAACTTAGAAAGATTTGATTTTTTTACATTACTGAGTATAATCTTTTAGGAATGGGTCATGTCTCATTCAAATGTTTTATGTCTCTCACAAAGTTTTACAGTGGTTTTCATATGGCTAGAAAATAATAACAGTCCACATTTTATTTTTTTTAATTTTATTTATTTATTTATTTGAGAGAGAGAGAGAAAGAGAGAGCAAGCAGGGGAGGGGCAGAGGGAGAGGGAGAGAGAGTCTGAAGAAGACTCTCCGCTGAGTGTGGATCCCGATGCAGGGCTTGATCTCCTGACCCTGAGATCATGACCTGAGCTGAAATCACGAGTTGGACGCTCAACCAACTGAGCCACCCAGGCACTCCTAGTCCACATTTTAAAGTGCTATATGTTATTACATGCCAGGCAGCATTTAAGTGTTTTGCACGTATTAACTCATTTAGTCCTCCCATGAGGTAGTACTATTCTTATTGCCATTGTATGGATGAGGAAACTGAGGCACAAGGAGGTTAAATAGCTTGCCCAAGATCACACAGATGAAAAGTGCTCAATAAATATTTGATGGCTGGAAGAATATACAAAAGAAAATAGTAATAATGAATTTAAAAAAGAGCATAAATTACCTGGTTTAGGATCTTCTGCATCCCTTTAGTTAATCTTACAAAAGGCCTACAAAGTAGCTGGCATTATCATTAGGGGTAATGCACGGGCAATCACTTGCACAATACTTGGCACTTAGTAAGTGCTGAATAAATGGTAGCTATTATTGCTAACATTATTACTACATATTTATTTTTTATTGAATAAATTTGACATGTGACATTCTGTGGTTTAAGGTGTACAGCATGTTAAAACTGGTTTCAGAAGAATCCATAGGTAACAACTACATGATTTAGATGCAATCATTATGATGAGTTACAATATGAAACTGAAGAGTACTAGCTAATGAACTGCTATAAAACAATGTTTTCTCCTTATCTCTGGGTTCTGAGTTCTTTCCCTTAATGACTATAAGATCTTAAGCTTTCTTGTTCACCATTTTAGCATCATTAAGTAAATGATAATGTCAACTACTCCATTCTGATTTCATTCTAGTCAGTGCTATAGCTTCTTTTGTATATTCTTTTAGCTATCAGTTATTTATTGACCACTTACTACATGGAAGTCACTGTGTCAGGCACAGGACAGATAAAGGTCTTTTTGTAATTCATATTCTAGTACGAAAATATATACACATAACTTAATAAGTTAATAAGATAACTCAAGAGTGTGATAACTTCTATGAGGGAAATAAACAGCGTGTGATAGAGAAGGGAAGAAATTACGGTGGCCTGAGAAAAATGTCTGAGGAGGTGGCATTTAGCTACGACTGAAAAGATGAAAACAAATCAACCTTGTAAAAATGTGAGGTAGGAGACCAGAATAGGGGAAGAACAGGTGCAAAGGCCCTCAAGCAATGAAGAGCTTGGCTCCAGAAGAAACAGAAGAGTCCACAATGGCCAGTAAGTAACATGAAGATCCAACTTACAACTGAGATAGAAGTGGAAAACGTAACACACTATTTAAAGGTCATTGCATACTTCGCCATGTAAATATTATGGTTTATGTTACACTTTATGAGCCATGAACTTAATTTCTTGGTTAGGAAACCACAAAAGATTGAAAAGGGTCTTGTTTATGCAACTAAAATCAGATACACACACATGCATGCATGTATATTTGTATCTTCAGGTGTAGGGATGTTTGAAAACATTCCAATATAAAAATGCTAGTAAAACACTTCATCAAAGCATATCAAAATGTGTTATAAACACATACTTGACTGAACATATAGTCAAATGCCTGAGCAACATTTAACAGAGGCTGCAGTGACCATCTCTAGACCCCAATTGTCAATAAACTCTAACTATTCAACGTTGCAACTGCAGACTTATACCTTCCAGTTAATCTTGTAGGGGACAAAAACTGCCACATATAAAGTTAATGTGGCACAGCATCTATACAGAAGGCTGTCAGGTGGACAGAACTTTGGGCTTACCTAAGGAGCCTTGTCCGTTCCATTTCCAATCACTATACTCCATACAAGACACAATTCATGACTCTATTATACCCAGATGACCCCTTGAGAGTTATAATGACTCAGTATGTTCTAGAGTGAGTTCTCAAATTGGTTTCCTTTGCTCATGTCTCTATTTAAAGAAAGTCCAAGGATATTGTTACTTAACAAAAATTCTAAAACATAGGTTCACTGGAAAAGATGAAATTAAAAGTTCCTCAATCTGTGGATTCTAATAAATCACTCCTCATTATCATTACCAACTTAAAAGTAATTAATTTTGCTAAGTACTGTCATCCTAATTTTTGCCACAGTATAAATAGACTAAGCCCAAATACAAAATACAGTTCTGAATTCCAAAAACTAATGAGCAGCACCAGCCTACAGCTCCCATGAACTCCAAGAAAAAGGGCCAAGGGCAGCAATGAGAATAGAAGGACAAACATGAAAGAACACTAAGAAACTAAGTATCATCTGAAAACGTCAAAGCATTATAAAACAGCGACACCATAAAACAACAAATGTTTTAAGTTTCCCTTTCTCCACCAGGTCTTCACTGAATGCTCCTTCTATCTACCTCTTTGTCATATGTTAAACCTGGCCCTCCCCTACCACGGACTCTTCCTTTCACGCCTGTGTAGTAGAGCAGGCACTCTTCTCTAACACCTCTTTCGCCTCAAGGAGAGCAAAGACTTCTGCAACACAGGGTTCCCCTTACCGAGGGCACGTGAGCGAGTGAATGAGCACCTCTAAGTGGGGAAGCACAGTGAACAATCAGCTGCACTTACTAATCCATTTTACTGTAACAACCTCTCTGCCTCCATTTCCATTTATCAACTGTTTAGTCATTCTCACACATTCCCCGAAAACCTTGATCCTTAAATGACAGTTTCACTTGCCATTCCACGTCAGGAGACTGTAAATTCCAGGTGGATTCACTGAGCCAACATCTTTGTCTCGTAACTCATTACCTTGATCAAATTCAAAGAACTTCAGGTACATTAAGCTTATACAATGAGCTACGCCCTAGATCAGTGGTGTGCATATCACAATCCTCTGGAGGGTTTGTTAAAACAGAGGCTGCTCCATCCCCAGAGTTTCTGGTTCAAAAGGTCTACAATGGGGCCCCAGAACCTGCATATCTAGGGAGTTCTCGGATGATACTGCTGGTCCCGACCCCAACTTTAAGAATCACAGGCTTAGATTTTCTCATTACTCAGAAATGGTTAACATTCAAACCATTCTCACTCTGATAGGCCTTCTACTCTTTCAGATCTCACTCCCAATACACCTGCTATTCCATCACAGTGCTGCTCAAAATTTGTCTACTTGGTTTTGGTTGATAATTCTTTTCATCCTACATATCTGCTATTCTCAATGCTGATCATTTTCCTCAGGGCCCTTATCTACCCTCTGCCATACTTATTCTCAACAGATCATCTCAACTCTTTAATTAGCAGAGAACACAGAGTTCAGGAGGCACGAACTACTTTACTCCCTCTGACATGCCTTCACGCTTCTCCACTTGAGTAATGAACTTCACCTCCTTCGTGCTCGCCTCAGAAGAATATTCCATCTCCAGTCTAAGACAACGTTTCTACTTACTTTCTCAATTCTATACTCTGCCCTGGCCTCAAATCTCTGCTCCATCAAATAGAAGTGTCATGCCTATAATTTCAAACTCTCCCTCGCTGCTAGCAAAGCATATGTATTTTTAATTTTAATAGATGTCAAAAGACTGCTTTCCAAAAAGACTTTTACATCATGGCAGGAGACTGGAAGTTTTATTTCCAGAAGAGGTTAAACGGAAGAGACGTTTTGGATCAGGAATCTTAGGCCAGCTGCAAACAGAAGCACTATACTGAAAAGGGGTTAGATTAATTGTTTACTAAACACTGAAACTCCCAACCTTCTTTCCCTTGTTCAGCCCTGAACATCAGCAAACAGGCTTCCCATCCTCAAACTGGATACTGGAAGATTCCTTCCTGGAAAAACTGAACGGCCCAAGAAACAGCTACAGATACTGAAAGCTGGAAATTCTCCAGTGAAATGCTGGGTCCCTACCCAATAACCCTAGCATGAGGATTCCTAGGGTGACCAGCCATCCTGTTTTGCCTAGGGCTGTTGTGGTTTTAGTACCAGAAATCCTGTGTCCTGGAAAATCTCTCAGACTACGATGGTTGGTCACTCTAGGCGCAACTGTAAACAAGTCTCATCACTGAACACAAAGATTTCAATTAGCTGTTTGTGTCTTCCTCTGAAAAAATGAAAGGGTTACCAAACATTTGAGGAAAAACAAACACTAATGTAAACAAACAGTAAAAACTCTAACAATGCAAGAAGCCAAAGGAAATGACAATGTATGTACCCATGAAACAAGAGACTATAAAAAAAGAAAAAACAGAGCATTTAGAATTGAAGTATATGAGTTTCTGGCGTAAAAGGGTCCACTAAAGCTTACAGTGGATGAAAAAACATCCACAGCAAGGTACTTTTACTATAAAATTTCAGAATCTTACAACAAAGAAAAGATCTAAAATGTTTTTCCTTGCAGGGGAGCTTCAAATCCAAAAAAATAAAAAATCAGAATAATATTGAGACTTCTCAAAACAGCTCTGAACCCTAGAAAACAGCTAAAACGCCCTCTAAATTGTCAGGAAAAATCATCTGCAATCTAGAAGTGTAAAACATTTTCTGACATGATAGATCTTTAAAAGATTACTTCCCATGCACCTATTCTCAGGAAGTTACTAGGAGATGTGCTTAAGCAATAAACCAAGAAATAAGAAAATATGGGATCCAGGAAATGGAATCTAACCCAGGAGGAAAGTAAAAAGAATCCCCAGGATGGCCTGTGCAGCAGACCCACAGGTTAGTCAGTCCAGACTGGAGCCAAAGAACAGAGTTCTGTGAAGCATATCTCCAAAAAAAGAAAAACACATAACCTGACTGATTACTCAAACGCAGTAAGAGGATTTTTTTCCCACTTCCTAGACAATAATTTTAGGATAAATAGTGATTCAAAAACAGAAAACTAAGCAAATAAGACAATCATTAACTCAGGGAGAACAAATAAGAAAAAATGTACAAGAAAAGAAATGCTGTGGACCTGAGTGGCTCAGTCGGTTAAGCGTCTGCCTTGGGCTCAGGTCATGATCCCGGGGTCTTGGGATGGAGCCCTGTGTCAGACTCCCTGCTCCAGGGGGAGCCTGCTTCTCCCTCTCCTCCCTGCTCGTGCTCTCTATCGCTATCTCTGCCTCTCTCTCAAATAAATAAAATTGTTAAAAAAAAAAAAAGAAAAGAAATGCAATCATAATACCCCATTGACTTAGCTATATATGATATGATACACATTTACAGTTTCGCTTTTAATCTTTCAGGCTGATATAAATATGTTCTAACTCACAATTTTAAAAGCACTTTGAATACCTACAATCAAGCATCTACCCCTACCTAACATTCTATTGGTAGTGATCCAGCAAAAGTCACAAATGATTCAGTTGCCAAATCTCAGGATAAATAAATGTTCTACTAAACTTATAATCATCTTGGAGTGAGACAGAAAAAACTATTAAGAAAACTGTCAAAAATGTGATAGTTCTAATTATTCTAAATATTAAGGAATTTTAAATAGTGGATTGCAAAACTATATATATGGGATACTTCCAATTATGATTTAAAATATATATAACAGACAACATAACATACATAATATAAATGCACAGAAAAAAACCAAAAAGCCCAGCCACTAAAGGACCAACGGTGGTTGTTATCAATGGTTTGAGTAATTTTATTTCCTTCCACAGAGTTTTTTTATATTTATTAATTTCTCTTTAAAATCTGAAAAAGTTATTTTAAGTATCTGTAGAAAGACCCCTCATCCAGATTTTTAAACTTACCTGTAATAATAAAAATAAGCAGCTTAGGCCTATTGGCTCTTGGCTCACTGAAGAGGTTAGTCCAGGGCCCACATTTCAGAACCTGGGTTTCAACTCCACAACATAAAATAAATTCCTCATGTACAGGAACTTCTTCCTTGATTTCCGAGTCCATTTCTAAATAAGAGGAGAAAAACAATATAGGGAGTCGCTAAAATGTAAAGCTTTGAGCCAAAGGCAATATTCAAGAATTTTAAAAAAGGCGAATTTCAACATACACAAGCAAATGCAAGAGGTATAGGACTAGTCAACTATTCTGATTATAGGATCACACACACACACACAAAATTAAAATGAACCGTAAGAGTAAGGAAAAACAGACATGTCTTCAGTGAAGTGAAAGACTAGACAGGAGTGTGACTCGGGATCCGATTAGCCAGGGATGCTGCCTAACATCCTACAGTGCGGAGGGCAGCACTCACAACAAAGAATTAACCAGCCCAAAAAGTCAAGAGCACCAAGACTGAAAAAACACCCAGCTCTAGTGCTAACGTGTCTGAAGAGTACAGCTTTCTCCAGCATCTGGCTGGCTGCTATGTGTTTCCTCTTTCTCCTGCTCTCTCTTCTGGCAGCAACAGCAACAATACGGCAAGAGTCCCAGATAGCACAGGTGTGTACCTCAGACCAGGTGGCTGCTCCCTGCACCCTCTCCTCAGCCCACAGGCACACTAAAGAACCAGCCACCTGACCACACAGTAGCCTGGAACTGCCCTGCCCAATAGAGCTCTGAGTTGCTTAAGAGGGAACCTTCTCCAACTGCCCATTCATAGCAGTACCTAAAGCAGTGCCCCAACCTCCTCTGAGCATGCTTAGCAGCCTCAACTCACCTGCATGGATCCCAGAGTGGTTTACTGTGGCCCTTCCAACAGATGCGCCACCACTCCAGACCTCACACCTGCACCAGCTTCCTGATTCACTCTGCACAACCTCTCACCAGTCTTGGTTCACCTGCTGACACAGTGACTGTGGACCAGCTTTGGTGCAGGCAACCACCAAATTTCTCTACCACACACCTGCAACCACACCTTCTTCAATGAGATCTAAATCCACATTCTATGTTTGTCCTTTCCTGGGTACTCTCCCTCAGTCCTAGGCTATCTTTATATAGAGAGTTTTCTTTATATAGTAATTTTAGAGTTTCTCTTTTTCCACAGATTAGTAATTTCTTTTTTTTTTTTTAAAGATTTTATTTATTTGTTTGAGAGAGAG